ATTTATGCTGAAATCACTGCTGCAGGGAACCAATCAGATTGCAGGATTTGCTTGTGATTTCAAAATGGATGTAATAAATTCGAAAATAGGATCATTTACCTAAAGAAAACAAAAGTAATAAGCAAATCTTCCTTTTCCGAAAACTTGTTTTGCGCATGCGTGAAAAACACCACAAAACGTTTGGTACATCTTAATGATAAATCAGTGTTGTAAAAACAAATATTTTAGAAATACACTAGTATTAAAAATTACTTTGTCGCCATAACTAAATTAAAATCAAGAATGAGTTTCATCGATGCATCCCACACGTTTCACTGGTTTAGTGTTCAAGACAAGGTATTTGGGACACCATATTCTTTGCCTTAAACTAATGAGTAAGGAAAATAACGACCTGGGTGACGCCAGGTTTGACGATGAGTATCGTATGTAATTTTTGACGGATAGAGAGGTTACCCCCAGATGACCCGCTTACTTACGCGGGATGTCTGTGTTGCTGCGACCTCCGACATGAAAACAAAGCAAAAGTTGGAAGGTGATGAGCATGTGATCAATCCGATGTGTCTTAACACGAATAGACTGATGACAGATACTGAATGTATTTGACAATGGTTTCCCAAAACATAATTGTTTCATTTGAACCCAGTGTAAATAAATATGACCTTTGTTTGTCCAAGTCCCATGGTTAGTCTTAAGATAGAAGTTACAAATGCTGATGATTCAGCGCAAAATCAACACCTTTGTCGGAGCATCGTTGAAGCGTAAAATTAGACTTAGAAAGAAGAGTAAACTTCAATAAAAAAACACGTATCTAGAAAACTATTCACGAGTGTTTTCATGATGGTGATTCAGGTCAAAATCGAGTCATGTGATTTTATCACGTGACGTCAAGACTAAAAATAACTCAAGCGGTCGAGGCGGTCGCGATGCAAGTACGTAAACTGTATTACTAAGGTCGGAATAAAAAGATATAAAAATTGTCAAAATATTTCAATACTGTATACATCTTACAAGGTAAGTATCTAACACATTTCTTTATTATTAAATTTGATTTCTCTATTCGTTGTTATTTACTTAATAAGCCGAAATTTTTTCCTACAAAATAAGTCGCACTTTTAGAAGATAATCAACAAGCTTGGGTTTCAAATTTTTCGCTAAAAGGCAAAATATATGTCCTTGTTCGATGGGTTTTCTTAGTAATTCAAGTCTCAAGGCTGCCTTTATTGAGTTTATCATCTTTATGGACCATGGTATTTGTATATCTCGTAAGGGAAAATAAAATATTTTTTAACCTACGTCTCTCTAAGCAAGTTAGAATTTGGGTACCAATGTTTAAAACCCTGACTTAAATAAAAATCCTCTCCATTTATACCTTATTCCTCTATTGCTAGTTTTATAGTATATACTTATTCTGATATACAAGTTTTGGGTAGCAGAAGAAAAAGGTGTGTTCAATATTAATTTTGCTTCAAGGGATATGAGCTTGTAAAGCTTACTTTTACTTTCGTTCTTGTCATATCTAACTGCTTCTACCTATCTTGCCATTGATGGCGGATGTTCAAAGGAGGAAGTCTCATATAGAACTTTTTATCATTATTCAAACCGATAGTATATATTATTTAGGAGGGAAAATACCGAATTCGTCTTAAATTACGATATTATGCACATTTTTTCTCGGAAATAATTTTTCTTGGAAAACCACGCCATGCATTGCTGCTCAATGCCCAGACAATTAATATTATGACGCATGTCCCTCAGACTTCTTGGAATACTTAGAGGTTATAGCACATGCGTAGATAAATGTCTATTGATGTAGCTGTCACCACTGCACCAGAAAGTAACTTGTTCAGAGCTTAGCCTGTGCACGAGAATATCATTTAGTTTTCCTTTCTTATTCATTAGTTTTGAAGTCTTTGAGAAAAAAATTGCTTACGTTGCATTTTTTTCCTCATTCTGCATATCAGAATGTTTAACTTACTTATTATTTGATGTTGCACTTAGAATTACCGCATATGAAATTAATTTGACAGTAAAATCTACTGGAAGTTTTTGTTTTATAGGTTTCATTGCTTATTAACTTCCTTTTAGAAACTAGAACATTTGGGGGGTTTCCCCAACATGATTCACAAGTATCGTGAACGTCATAAGATATTATATATCGTGGTCAAACTAGTTCACCTCAAAGACTTACCACTGAACTACTCATTTGCCTTGCCTCAGCTTGTAGAAACATAATCTTTATTGTTCAAAGATCCACCCCTTTTGGTTGTTTGGAAGTCTAAGAAAACTCTCAGAAAATATCAGAATATGCTGATAGAGTGGAAACGATATATCCGTGAAATATTAGTAATGCTAACTTAGGTCTAGGGCAAATGTCGAACTTTCCATGCACCGAACTTAATTACATCAAAGAATGCCGCCTCATTATCACCTGATATCCATTGTTTTTAATAAGCTCTATGCATGGAAAGTTTGACATTTGTCCTAGGCCTAACACTATTTTATGCTAATTCTATTGTTTTCTCTCGTTTAACTAGCACTATTTTGAACAATTTAGTAATTAGTGTTTCATGGATATATTTTTTGCACTCTATCTCTTCACTGTATTTATTATTTTCACTATTTCTTGTTTCGATCACATTTATTTGGCTTCACTTTCTGGGTCATTTATAAAAATTTGGGATATTTCCCTAATGTGTGACTTACCATAAATTTTCTTTGTAAAAGACTTTTGCTTTCCAAAGGTTTCAAAGCGCATATCTGAAATGCATAACCTTTAATATGAATGCACAAGTTCTTTAACTGATAAACAAATGACATTGTGCCTAATCATGTGAAATAAAAATCTGAGTAATAAGTACGAAGACTCGTGCGTTAACGTCTTCATAAGAATATGTAATTTTTTAATATTGGGTCACACTTTGGGATTCCTGCAAAAACATCCATGAATTTTAGCTGTCGAAGATTGTTGATACAAACACTAATTTCATATGCTAGACAATATGTAATATTATCACGGTTGGGTTGTGACCTTAAGTCAGTAGCTTGAGCAGAGATTCCAAAGCTCAAAAATACAGCTATATCAGTACTTGAGTAGTCCTACAGCTCAAAACACAAAGTCTTTACTTCCCTGGTGTCAACACTGAAATAACTTGGTTTCCAATTAAGTTCTTTAAAGTAAGTTTTAAGTTTTCTATTTTATTAATAGTTGTTTTGAACACTTCTCAAGTTAATTTTGTTTATCAAATTTCAATACCTAATTTTGGAGAAATATTAAGTGTAATACTGTAGTGTGTACTGTGTGTTATTCCCTGTATAGATGTCTTGATCAACTATTAGAGAGTAATTCTGCTCAGAAAAGTGTTCTGATCAACCAAATTTCTAGCATAGTAACCAACTGATAACATCAAAACAAAACAATGAAATCAACTGTTGTCCAAACAAACTGCTGTTTTACCAGGAAAATTAACACACAAAACCAGCATAAAAAGAAAATATGGAAACTGGTTTTGACTTGGTACCTTATTTCAAAGAAAATATATAATTTATTATTCAAAACTTTTATTAAATCTCAGTCATTTTTTGTCCTCAACAATAGATTGTTTACATTTCTGACATCTTTAACATCAAACTTGGCTGTCTTCAGGCCAATATTACATCATTTTTATTTAGGTGGTTTCATATTATTTTGAAATGTTTGTTAACTGATGAATGTCTCTGATTGGTTAAAAATTATGCTATTAAAGCAGCCCAGTACTTTTCATTAGCGAGCAACCAGGAAATCTTCAGTTTTCGTTATTCTTACCTCAAAAATATTTTTAAATGTGATTCATGTTTTCAAATTCCTTTATAGTATGACTTAGATATGTTTTTAGATATGTTCATTGATGTTCATCATAATGTTTCCATGTCATAAAATAAGTTCCTCATGTTAATATTTTCAAGCATAAGTTAAAAACTCATTTATTTCGTCAAGGTTATGATATTTTATAATTCAAATTTTTATATACATGTATGCATTATTAGGTAGTTCTATATTAATATTTTGTCTACAAGTACATTTTTATAATTCCAATCAATTCCAATCACACAATAAAACTAAATAATATTAAATGTATGAAATAAAATATAAAATAATATTGAATATATTATTATAGTATTTATTATTAAATGTAGTTTTCTTATTATTCTTAGTATTGTAAAGCACTTTAAGCACTATTATAAAAAACTAATTAATATTATGAGGCAGTATAAACGTCTGGATGCCCAGTGAGTAAATAAGGCTTTGGTTGGACGGATAGCCATAACCAACCACAGCATCGACTAAAATCTAACAATGACAGTTACGTTATTATTATTATTATTATCATTATTCTCATTATTATTATTATCATTATTATTATTCTCAATTGTGGATTGCCTTTAAGTAGAGAGATTTAAAATTGCTGTAAAAAATGTTAAAATAAAGTTTCCATTATTATTATTATTATTATTATTATGTTCCCGATGGACTGAACATTATGCTAATTAGATCAATACTTGACTGATCAACCAGGAAGTCTAGTAAGTACTATGAATAGACTTGACTTCTATTGCAGAGTTCAACTTCCTTGTATCAGATACATATGCTACGAGGAACATTTTAACAGGAAAATGACTACAACCGAATGTGCTAGTTAATCATTTAATTAATAACCTCCCTTAAAACTTTGAGTACTGTTCAACTCAAAGACCGAGCTTCATTACAATGATTTTAGGAAAAGAAATCTCTAGTTGTTTTTGTACTTTCTTGTGTTTTTAATGTTATATTCTTGGTGGTTTTTAGCTTGTGGTACTTGGTTGTTCTTGTCTTCTTTTGAGCATGTATCATACACAAGGTATGTAGAATGTTTAAGAAATATTCTGCTCTTCTCTTTACTAATTAATTTGCTGTACCTGTATAAAATATTTTAGTAAAATGTAGGTTTATTATAGTATTAGCAGTTAAAGCCAGCACTCATGAGATTCAAATTCATTTCAATACAATTTATTTACACACTTTAAATATCTTGATAAGAAGTGGTTTCTTGTAACTTTTTAAGATAAAATTCAGTGATAAAACTTTACTAAAAAACACAATATTACACGACGTTTCGACATTAACTGAACGTCATTATCAAGTACTGATAAAAAACTAAAAAACTTTAACTTATATACATGAATAATAATGAGTATAAAAAGGTGCGAAAACGAAAAACTATGTAATTTAAATATTGTACAATATTCGTCATGTTCGTCATTTTATTGTACAATATTTAAATTACTCATTTTTATGCTCATTATTATTCATGTATATAAGTTAACGTTTTTTAGTTTTTTATCACTTGATAATGTCGTTCAGTTAACGTCGAAATGTCGTGTAATATTAATATTTAGTAAATTTTTATCGCTGAATTTTATCTTAAAACACTTCAAATAGAAATGAATATAACAAATCATAATTATTTATATTTACAAGTTATTCTAGATTTTATAAAAAGATATATAAATAGATATTAAATATAAACCGTTACTACAGTGAGTGTGCAGTGATGGTTTAAGTAGTATAAACTTTCGAGGAAACCATCACTACAAATAGAGCAAAATACTATCAATATTTCCAGTTTCTTAGATCAATTTTCCACAAATCTCCCCCACCTACAGTATAAGTAATGAATGGTCCCTAAGATGCTATAACTCCACTTCAATCTGAATCAGAAGATATAACTAGCTAAAAACTAGTGTGAGCTGTGTCGGTGTTTCTAATGAAACAGACCTCTTTCTCTTTTACTCCGACAAAGGACTAGCGTCCGAAGCGTCAGTAAGTTTTTTCATCTTTTCACGGTGTATAATTTACCTTTTCATCATTACTGTTTCAATCTGAATCCTAAATGAGCTTATTAGAAAATAACCCATAGGTACCAGTGAAACTGAGACGCACAAGGTCTAATGGTAAGCATACAACAAATTTGCCAGAGAATGAAAGAAAAAAAACAGTCTTGGGAACTTTTTATATACCATCAGTAAGAATGAAACAACACCCAGTATTGCTGCCTTGCGTAGGCTAGCAAATCTCTACTGTAGCTGTGGACCTGTATGTGACTTTCACTTGAAACAACGATAATATACAAATGGCCAATAGTTGGCCAACACTTGGTCAACACATGGCTGATAGTCAGGCTGCAACACGTGTTGGCTGGTCATGTAGTACACGTTTACACATTTTAAGATTTTACGTTTCAGCTACAACACTAAGTATGCATACATAAGTCATTACAGAGGCATTGAGAGTCATTCTCCACTATACAGAATTTATATTTTTAACTAAATTTTGTCATGTATTGTGATGAACAAATGCAAGTTCTTGGATTATTAGTACATTAACTAGGGTATAGTTTGCCAGCCCTACTAGTAGATATGAGTCTTGAACATAATTATGGTCCTAAAGCAAGGAATGTATTGAGGTTATTGAAACACAGTAAAATGAATGCTTAAAGTGCTTATAAGCCTTTATGCAATATTTTCAGAATCGATTCTTTAGATAGTGAATAGTTGATTGTGAAGATATTTTGTCATTTCAATGTCGGGTCTTTAAGATACGAATTCCCAATATGTTAATGACTATGACATAACATAAGGGATCATTTAATATACAGCACTGCACTCGTTCTGGAATACAGTATTTTAAAAGCATCACCCTTTTACTCGTGACTCACGTAAAGGTTCTTACAAAATTGTTTTCAAAAAATGTCCAGCATTCAATATTAAAAATTGCCACAAAATAACTCAAACCTCTTATGTTACGTCATAGTCATTAACATATTAGAAATATAAACCTTCGTATCTCAAAGACCCGACATTCAAATGACAAATTATTTACACAATCAACTATTCACTATTTAAAGAATCAATTCTGAAAATATTGTGTAAAGGCTTATAAGCACTTTAATTGTGAAACTGGAGAATAAATAAACTAGAGAATAAATAAACTCTAGTGGATAAGCCACTGGCTTATGAAACAATGTAATTAATGGACATTATTGAATGAAAAAAAAACTTTTTTAAGCGTTTACGTACTTGTTGCTATGGATATGTGTAATATTTGTGTATAATTCTTTATTATTTGTCTAGGTGACTGATGCCAAAGGAATTAACAACATTAGAAAATGTCAAGGACAGAGCATTTGCTCACATGCTACAAAATATCTATAATTGAAGTTAATCCTGATGATCCTGATGATGATATTAAAACACTTTCTTTAAAGGCAAGAGAATTTCTTGCTTCAAAAAAGTACTTTGACAAGCCCAAGGTTCTCCAATTTTATACATTTACAAAGGAATTCATAGAAAATTCCATTGGAAGAAACTTTGAAAGTAAGGCATTGTTGTTTAAAGATTTGCAAAATGTATTCTATAAACTAGAGGAATATGGAATCAGACTATTGAAACGTCCTTGGAGAAAAGAATTCTATACAATCAAGGTAAAATAATGTACTTATACTAATTGATATTTTTTTAACTTAAGAGAGAATTCTTTTCGTATTCAAGTGCTGAGCGCCAAAAACTATTTCCTTGAAGAAAGACTGTTGTACAAGGCTAAAATCTTGTTATTTAGAAAGTTTAACTTGTTTGGAAGTGGAGATGACCCATGAAAAATTGAATCAAAAATGAGGTTTAGGCCTTCATTTGCTTATTTCCCATACATTTTCTATAAAAAAGCCTGACAAAGCAACATTCTAACACAAATGCAACAAAACATCTTTGTACAATTGAAAATACTGCTTCAAACAGGCATTTTATCATAGTACATCACTTTCTAACTGTTAAAAAAGGTTTTGAGTGTTAACCCAAAACGAAAATTGGGATCAAAACTCATACGAAGGAATAGTTTTTGGCGCTTTTTGCCATTAATGCTCATTATTGAAAACAATTTCCTCTTAAATTTTAAAAATTGCAAATGTCAAGATAGCTATGTTAGGTATTTGACTTCCATTAGTTTTTCATTAGAGATCATTTATTTTTAATCAAAAAACATTCTTAAAACATGGCGTGTTACCTTCCTTTTTTCACACTATTCCTTTATTCCTTTGCATTTCATTCCTCTCTGTCATATTCTTATCCTGTCTCCCCTTCCCCCCAGCATCTTCCATGAAATAGTACTAAATGTATTCCAAGTTATGATCTAAGCACCTCTCAGTTGTGTGACCATGGGCTGAATACTTTTAGCCCATTTTTTTTCCTTCATTAATTTCTTAATTCATTCCCAATTTGCCTATTTTTTCTTTCTTTCATATTCCCACTTTTCATATTTGTTTATTTGTGCTATCATTCTTTTAATTTATTCAATTTTGCATCTCCTAATTATTATTATTTTCTTTTTTTAGCTTTTCACGACGTTCTTTAAACATGATATTGAATCAAAACTTCCCAATGCTGTAAAAATACTTCAATTGTACGGCTATGGAGAAGTATCCCAAAATATGATCAAAATGGCAATGGACTCTCTAGACTCTAGATCCAACAGGATCATTTACGTATGTTTTGACTTGTTTTTATCAAGGATTGAACTTGAGGTTATGTCTGAAATTTGCACGACTATCGAAATGTATACCAGTGACTTCACATTGAGTGATGTATTCGAAGCCAGGAGGAAAACTAAAGGCGATGTAAATGAAGCGGTCGAATATTTTCTCCGTGAAAACCCAGGTATCAATAAGGTGAAGAGAATAAAGACAGATGATACGGAATCAGGGAGAAAATCTGGAGAAAGATTTGAAAAAAGCAATAAACTTCCTTCTGAAGATGAAGAAACAAGTAGAACTGATTCTAACAATGGGAGAATCACAAGTCAAGGCAGAACAAAGCGGGATACAAAATATCCTCCGTTACCTGGCAACTACAGCAATCTTCCCTCAACCTCGGATGATCCTAGGTTTGCTGCCGTTACTAGTGGTGCAAAGGTGCGGCATATTAGCTCATCGGTTCCCGTTGATAATTTTAGTGATGCTGAGCTATATGGGCACGATGATGCATCCTCATCGAGTCAAGACAACGAAAACAACATTCCAATGGACACACAGGAACCCCAAGCTAGGAGCGGAGCAACGTACGAACCTAGCAATTACGTTGACATGAGTGGCGCTAATACTGATTACTATCAGATAATGGACCAATGCAGTACAGAAAATGGTCTCTCCTCTTGTACTGCTTTACCGCCACCCCCAATGACGCATACTTATTCTTCATCTGATCAAGGGATCCCCCCGCCGCCTTATGACCAAGCAATCAAAATACCTGGAAATGACTGGGTTATGATAGAAGATAAAGATTCTGACGGTCTAAGTAATAATATATCGGCAATGAATATCGGTGAGAATGGACTTGTCTCGAGGACTAGTAATGAAGTAGTAGGAGTACGAGCTAGTGCGTATGATACTGGTGACATCGGGAGATTGAAGGCAGCATCTTCTGATAGGATACCCTACAGAACTGGGCCCCATTATCAAACAGAACCCCAAGGAACAAGTACTAAAACAAAATCAGTTGGTACTTCTGGTTTGAGAGAGCATTCCAGAGAGGTTAAAGGAATGGGAGATTTGTATTCAGAACGTCCACTGTCGAATGGATCACATAGGGATTATAGAAGCTTATCGACCTCTTTCAAGAAAGGGTTTGACGGCACACCACCTGTAAAATCAGCATTAAATCCTTTTGAAACACCAGGAGATTCAACCAAAGCAAAAACAGATGTACAAAGAAGAAGCACTTTATCTGGTTCATATGACAGAATGTCAACATCAAAAGCAACAGAAGAGTATCTCAAAGATCGTCTTACAAGGAGTGGACCAGAACAACTGGGTTTTAAGAGGACGAGTGATCCCAATGTACCTACAGCTACACTCACTTATGTGACATCTTCTTATCCTAAGCGTAGCTCAACAACTGCTGTCTCTTATTCGTCCCCTTCTAAAACCCAGAGTACTATGACCACAAGAAGTCAAGTAAGGGACGTTGCAGCAAACAAGTCAGACGTAATGAGCGAACCTATACAAGGTACTTCTAGAACAACACAGAATATGGCTGAGCGATACAGCAAGGAGAATTGTTTCGTATGCAACAGCAAAGCTACACATTATTGCAAAATGTGTAAGAAAAAGTCTTGTAAGACTTGCTCAACTGTTATAACCAGACTTCATTGTGACAGTTACAAAGAGCACCAACTGGTTGAAGCAAGCCCGACTATCAACAACGAAAAGGCTGATCTGGGTACCAAGGATATGTGCTCATTTTGTGGTGTCAGCGCTGCATCACATGACTGCATTTACTGCAATAAAAAGTCTTGTGGTAATTGCCATACTATTTACACAAAAGATCCTTGTGTACTGGGCAGGGAGTTCCATTATTTCATGGATCAGCAACAACCAAAATCAACCTCGGAAAAGCAGGAAACAACCTTACAGAAGCAGACAACGCTCTCTTTAAAGCACCAGAAGCTAAACCTAGTTCCCTTTGTCACTGGGGAGAATTATTGTGACTTCTGTGCGCTAGCTGCTAACCTTATTTGTAAAATCTGCCTTAAAACAATATGTGATAAATGCAAACATGTTTATACACAAGATCTTTGTCCACCAACAAAGAGAGATCATCAGTTTGAGAATATAAATGAACAATCTCCAAGTACAAACAAACCAACAGATAAAGACTCGAGCTCATCGTGGACATGTGAGCGTTGCACGTTTTTGAATTCCTCAAGAAACAGAATCTGTGCTGTATGTGCAACTTCAAGAGGAGTGAATCAGGTTGACTTGCCAAAAAGTGGCAGCAGAAAGTGTCATAGCTGCACATATGCAAATGAAGAAGGAGCTACGATTTGTAAGATGTGTCATTGTACAGTTGGACTAGATAACCCAGAATCTTACATTTGAGTGTTTAAAAACCTTTTGTAGTGGTCTTCCTTGGTGCAGAGGACAGAAGAAAGGAAAAACAAAACAAATAAAAAAACAGAAAACGAAAGAAATTTATCCCTGGACGAGTATATTCTGCAAAACGAGAAGATCATTTTCTAATTATGCTCCTTATGATAGATATTTTAGCCAATATCAAGTATACACATGCATGACTTTTGATCATTTAAGACTTATAATCGTGCCAATAGCACCCTATTGATTTGCCCTGGGATATTCCTATGTAACAAATCCATAGATTATCCTATAAAATAGATTAGTTGTTTAAATTTTGAATCAATGTTCAAAAACTTGTCTTATGATTATAGCGAGAAGGCAGGTCATTATTCATTGGAGTGATTTCATAAACTTTTAAACTCGCAGTTTGAAGCCATTGATTCGCTATCCCATCGTTCTAAGGTAGTCTGGTAATAAACTTTCACAGCTTTTTCAAAAAAGGTACATTGAAAACTTCAAAGAGATCTCGCTTTTCTTTGCGCATGCCGAATCGTGGGAAAAACCTATGCCCTATGCTCATCACCAGCTTTCCTGAACCGTGCAACACGCAATCAAGGAAAATGTTCTCATGACGAGAAGAGGCTAGACAGTTCTTTTAACATGGTTTGCTATAAGGAAAGAGTGACTAAATAATAAAATACCGTTTGTCAAAGTTCATAACTAGTACTGACCACTGGGGAAGCTATATACTTTGTACATACTACATCCCCTTGGTAAAGCCTGGTTTACACTTGCTTCGGAATCGGAATCGTAAGCAACATACGCAGACTCAGTATTGCATCTATCACCTAGGTGTTGAAAAAGACAAGCACTGTTAATGAGCAGTACGTACACTACTGAGTCTGCGCGGTATGTTGCTTTCGATTCAATCACGACGCTAGTGTCAACCAGGCTTTATGAAAGTGAGCTTGGCCTTATATAATATAGCTCAGTTTGCGTAACCAATAAAATCATATCTCACAGTGCCTAGAATTAGTGCATAAACTATAGTGTATTTTTAGGCAATCAACTTGGTAGCTTTAAAATTATAGAAAACTTCATTTTCATTTTATTGCTGATATTAAACATGGGATCAATGTGTTATGTTGTTAAACGATATGCAATTGCAGCGCGCAATTCAATGGACTACTTAATCGACGACGCGGTGACGATCTTTCCAGGGGGCAAAACAAAAATGAAGGAAAATATATAGACTTTCTTCCTTCGTGTGTTTGTTCTATTTTTATGGGTAAATGTGATCGATGTGACTTCCTAATCTTGTGGTTCACTACTGTAACAAAGCTTTATTTTGTCCCATAGACGCCCCACAATGCCTTGCAATCCGAAATGGCCGCCGTATCGTCGAGGCAGGGTAAATTAAAGTGGACTAAATGCATGCGCAGAATGGGGCTTTTGCGAGAGTAAAAACAACACTCATTTGAGGTTTTTGCAACAACTTCTCATTCAACTTCGTATAGCTATCTATAAAAGACAGCAATTTTTTTAAATGTTAGAAATGCATAAAATTACACGTGGAGAAGAATGGGAAATTTCACGGCATGCATGCAACTGCAGCAGTCGGCTAATAAATTCGAACACTAGAGGAACATGGCAGTTGCACCCAATTTTATGGAGGAAATGCAGAAATCATGGATAACAAGGACTGATGCGGAAATCCTTGGATACCTCGGGTAAAGATTATATAGAAATTCGTTTGACTAGAAAGATCTATCTTCGGGGAGGAGGGAGAGAGAGCAACGTAATGGGTCATGGGCAGTTCACGTAATATTAAAATTGAACAATATTTTATATCATCTATGATAAATCAAAGTCCATCCATTTTAAGGACGAATCAAAATCAAAGGGGTCACAAATCTTGACCTGGAAATGCGTCACTGCGGGAGTCCCACTAATGTCAAAACCAACATGCGACGGGATATTCCTTCTAGAATAGTAAAGTCCCATAAGTTATAGAAATATTTTTCCACCACCTGCAACCCCTAGAGATTCAGACAAATAATTCCCTATCATGAAAATAAATAAAGACTGGTCTTTACAGACCGACAATGTAATTTGAACCTGGAAGTTTTCGGATCTAAATAGCTGACGCAAATTCGTAGCGGACAAAGTAGGCGTAACCTCCTTATAGTTTGCTTTATTCTCCAAATCAGTAAGTCGAACAGTAGTATGAAAGTACCAGTTCTGCATCGGGCTCCCACGGGCCCGTAGGGGGAGGGGGCGTTCTACATCATGAGCTCCGGAGCCAAACGTGGGTACTTTCTAGGGGGTACTTTTGAGCCTCCTGCGGATTCGGCCGGATGACTTCATTTCGGCCGGATTTTCCATTCGATTGCCTTCGGATCTTGGATTTCGGATTCATAGGCGTTTTGAAATCATATTCTATTTTTAGATTGAGAGATCACGTCATAGATAATAAGGATGATGATGTTATTTTTATTTTCTAAGCGTTTTTCTGTTCTCATTATCTTCTCGTCTGCGTAGTTGGATACGCCTCGGTGCAACTGTCGCTGCGATATGCAAATAATGAGTAAGCTTSATGCATCAGGAAATTTGATTATATCATATTTATTTCAATCTCTTCTTTGTGAGAAATATTTGACGGTATTTTAGTTATACTCCAAAGTTTTATAAATCATCCAAAATTGTGAACTTCTTGAAGGGGAATTGCATCCCCCGGTCTCCCGCGTGACAGGCGGGAATACTAACCACTATACTATCAAGGATTTTGATGTAGATATACACCACAAGTGTTTTTCACTCAAGTTTTTTTATTTTGCATATTTCAGTCACGACAGTACAACCTTATTGGTTTACAGTTTGGTTATTAATTTTGATCTCAGTTACTGCTTAGAATTTTTCTCACTTGGGCAGTCGCTCTGAACGTCGTGGAAGCTTTAAGACTACATCTTTGTATTTATGAGCATCTTGATAACTAATCCACTTGTCTGGTTTTTCTGTACTTGGTGGAGGTGTAGGTAAGAAGGCAGGTGGGGTGGCAGAGTCTGTGCTTTGACAGTGCTGAAGGATGTAGTAGGAGAGGGGGATCAAAAGTAGTTTTAAATGGAGTAGACTGAGACTCGGCCAAAGTTGAAGCTGTTGCTCTACTGGGCTCGAAAATAGGGGTCCTAAGTTTTGAGGTTAATCGCCCTGGTTAATTGTCTTAGGTGTAGCATAACCACTGTCGCTGGTGGTCGAGGGTAGGTTTTGCGGAGTTACCATACTGGCGAGAGGACTGGGAGTTGTTAGTGGTGATGCTGATGGTGTTGGCGCCTTTTCATGATCAGGTCTTGATTCGTAAAGTATGAGCGAAGCACTTTGAAACCAATATGTGCGTTCTGGACCATTCATTTTGTGAACTCTACTTAAATGAGATGACAAGTTTTGTACTGATTTCAGACACAAAGGATACGTACGAGCAATCTCTAGTCTACTTGGAAATGATGTTAAAAAGAGGCAGCAGAGGTACTTAAAAGCTAGCTTAATCAAATCACTATTAGGCTATCGGCTATCAGCAGCTATCAAGCTATCGGCTATCGGCTAATGTGTTTTGGTCGATGTCGGGTCGGTGCGAGGACGATGTAGGTTCGATGTGGGGTCGATGTGGGGTCGATGAGAGGTCGATCGGCTATCGGCTATCAGTTATTGGCTATCAGATATCATGCTACTGGTTATTGGCTATCATCTAGGCTGATATAAATCCATAAACAGTCAATTATTTCGTGATAATTTTGGTTATTTGCATCTCCTAGTCCATTGCCCTGAACCCCAGAAGAAGGTTTTGCTCGCAGCTGCCACTCCCGAACGACGGAGTTCTTGCAATGTGTGAGGTCTGCCATAATTTATTAAAAGGGTCTGTACCAACTTCTAACTCTGAAAAATCCGGAATCCGAAATCCAAGATCCGAAGGCAACCGAGTGGAAAATACGGATGATCCTGATGCAGAACCGCTATTTCATATCTACTTCGAACTAGATTCATTTTACCGACCGTGCTTTATAATATTCCTTTAAAATCCCCTAAAGTCAGTATGGCCAATTCTTTTGATGAATTTGCACGTTCTATCAGCGAAGAGGTTACCTGTGCTATCTGTCTGGAGGAGTTGAAGGAACCCAAGATGTTACTATGTTCTCATAATGTCTGTAGACAATGTTTGGAACTGATGTCTAGAAACAAAAACTTAATAGACATCGTTTGTCCAGTCTGTAGAAAACCCACACCGATTCCTAAAGGAGGTGTGAGATGTCTGCCTACCAATGCAGCCATAATTCGAGTCGTAGAAGCCACTCTGGCAAGGAAAGCGAGAATCGAGATCCAAGAGTCTCTTTTAACAGAGAAACCAATGGTTGAACTGTTGGCGAAAAAAATCTCAGACCTTGACAAGCCTTTGAGGGTTTTAAAGGAGATCCAGGAAAAAGCTGACAAGTTAGTCAATGTTATAAGGAATCAGGAAGCAAACCTCTGTCGAGAAGTTGAGGAATTTTATGGTAGAAAGTGTGAGACCATCGACGGAGAGAAGAGTGACTTGGACAAACTACATTCAAGTGCGTCAAAATGTGTACAAGAAGCAGAAACGATTCTAAAACAAAGGTGGCCTGATCCTACGAAGACAATAAATGCTGCAAAAGCTCTTAAAGAACAAATTGAGAAGATCACTGAATTAGATCTAAATCGAGATACGTCCACACTCGAAGATCTTGAGTTTAAAATGAATGCAGAAGCTAATATCCGCGGCATACTTAAAGATGAAACTTTTGGAAAATTATTTACTTCCGCAAGCAACAAAGCAGCCCTTGGGGATGACTCGATTCTGTAAGTATGAATGAAGAAATATTATTATTACTGTAATCAGTTTAATTATAGTTTTTTTTAGCACTACAACTTCCTTTTACATATCTATCTATTCCCTTGTATCAATGCTATTAAGTACTAAGCAGCAGCACACTTTCGTAACTTTTGCGTCTTATTTGTCCAAGCCAAGCGAGGGCAACTACAGAGAGCAAGTCAGACATGATGAGCGAATCTTTACGAGGGGCTTCTAAAACGCCTTCTAAAACCCAGAGTACTATGACCACAAGAAGCCAAGTAAGGGACATTGCAGCAAACAATTCAGAGCTGGTAATGAGCGAACCTTCAAAGCACCTGAAGCTAAACCTAGTTCCCTTTGTCACTGGGGAGAATTATTGTGACTTCTGTGCGCTAGCTGCTAACCTTATTTGTAAAACCTGCCTTAAAACAATATGTGATAAATGCAAACATGTTTATACACAAGATCTTTGTCCACCAACAAAGAGAGATCATCAGTTTGAGAATATAAATGAACAATCTCCAAGTACAAACAAAGCAGCAGATAAAGACTCAAGCTCATCGTGGTCATGTGAGCGTTGCACGTTTTTGAATTCCTCAAGAAACAGAATCTGTGCTGTATGTGCAACTTCAAGAGGAGTGAATCAGGTTGCCTTGCCAAAAAATGGCAGAAAGTGTCATAGCTGCACATATGCAAATGAAAAAGGAGCTACAATTTGTAAGATGTGTCATTGTACACTTGGACTAGATAACCCAGAATCTTACATTTAAGCTTTTTTTAATCTTATGTAGTGGTCTTCCATAGTACGGAGGACAGGAAAAAAACAACAGAAAACCTTGGGATGTATTCTTGTAATACAGTATAGATCCTTTGCAGAAATGTACTTCAAAGATATTGCCAATAATATCTTAATTCTCATCTGGATACGAGAAACAAAAGATGAAAATGGTCCCCATTGTTGTATTGCACCACAGGTAGCCCAAGCTAGGTTCTTGTTGTGTTATATTTTCTTATAATATAACATCACACAGGCACAGGAACCTAGCTTGGGCTACCTATGCTTGTGTGACAGAGTCAAAAGACACTATTTTGGACAGTAATTATTTAGTCATAAATCTATATTTTTAATTAGGAATGCCTCGTGTAC